AAGTGTCTATTTCACGCATAGATAACATATAATTATCCTCTGATCCATCTGTTGACGACGGTGCTGGGGAATCTATTGAATAATCTCTTATTGGATTTTTTGTAATCCTAATATTTACTGTTTCTAAATGCAATTCATCTGGCACAGTAACTCTTATGTCAGTATACCTTGGTGCCAATAATTCAATTTTTAAACCTTCTGGTGCAACTGATACATCAAACCCGTTAGGATACATTGTCTTTGAAGTTTTGATGTCAGTTACTCCATTACCAATAACTTCCATGGCCAAATCATATTGAAAAGTTTTGGTATTAATTCCTTCATTTATAACTGAATCAGTAGTATTCTTTATATATGGTGGATGTCCCATTGTTCTCAATATTTCTATGACATTTGCGACACATAATGGTGGTTGCAATAAAATGTTTTTGGTGATCGACGAGGGGATTTGTTCAAGTTTGATATCAATATCAACAATGTAGGTAATTTCCATGTACGTTGACAAATCTTCTTCGTCAACCTTAGGACGTAACTGCCATCCGGAAATATCTAAATTCGCTCGAACATGTCTTTTATTTACAGGCATCAAAGGATCGACGACCGAAGTGCTGGCATGCCAAATTGTACCAGTTTCTGTATCACGTTCAATAATACTAACCGTTGACAAGTCTCGTCGACTTTATTAAATCATTTTTTCAATATCAACATTTAAGATATATATATATAAATATAACAAATACACAAATATTAAAGAAACGATATATCACCTGATCGGGAAGTTACTCTTCATCGCGAGTTTTGTTAAAAATTCGTTTGGTCCCAAACGTTCAATGTTTATACCTTCATCAAATCGAGAATCCCCTATTTAAAAGATAAAGAACGTTATAAAATTGAAATTATATTTAAAAGAACCAAAAAAAAAAAAACAATTCAACTTGCAAATTTTTCTCATTTCAAGTTCAGAAATGACCGACAAAATATCATCGGCTGTATATTTGCCGACAATTTTAGCATCACCACGCGTCATTGGCAAAGTGTTAGAAATTCCTTCTTTTACATAAATCTTTACACCTCGCTCCTCCGTATGAAATTCCCAACCATTTAAATCATTTGCTAATGTTTTTAGTTTAGACAATGCTTTTATTGCAGAATTATGATGACGATCATGTCTTAATGATTGGTTTACATCCGAGGTAATTGACATATTTCTTGGCGACATTGCTTGAGGCGAACTTGGAGGCACAGGCATTGGTCTTTGTGCTAACTTAGGTGATTTTACTGGAAATGAGGTATCGGGTGGAATTAATGGTAGTAAATTATCATCGACAAAAGTATTTTGGTTTTCAGATAGTTGAATAGATTCTTCATATATAGTATCACTATCAAAAGTGGTAAAATTAATATCTTCACTTTCTTTGAAAGATATTTTACGCTTTGGGGTTTTTCTCTCTACAATATTATTATCACGTATACCATTAGAAAGTTTGGGAGCAAGTTTCGGAGAAGTTTGTGATATTTGTGATGTATTATTTATTGACATTATTGGCGGATCATTCTTTATCAAATAATCTTCAACAGCACAAAGAACAAGAGGCCTTCTAGACATATATGTTGAGACAATAAATCCTGGAATCCAACTATTAACATTTACTTGAAGAACGTAGGTAACTTTTGTTCGGGGCGGGGAAGTGGAAAGAGTTTGGAGAACCCAGCCATTCAGTATAATTTCTGCACGGATTCTTCCAGAAATGTGAGGAACCTTTGGATTGTCAACTGAAGCTGTGGCAAAGTAAATTTCACCTGTTGAGGTACATTCTATTTTTTCCACTAATGACAAGTCTCTTGGTCTATATATCAATTGTAATCACGTGAGTAAAGTTGGCAGTGAAAAAAAATTGGAACAAAACTTTGAAATAGAAGTTACTTTGTGCCGGCTAACGCATGCATGACCATATAAGTTGTACTTGTTGTATCATTCAAATTGTCGACAAGATGGCCTCCTTCGTACCTAACAAAAAATGTTAATACATTTCAAGAATTGACCAAAAATAGTAAAAATATGAATCATACCAATCATCCCAAGGTTTTCTCATTCCAATAACAGCAAATATTGCTTGTGGTGTAAAACCCACTATTTCGTGTTCACCCATATACACTGGAGTTCTTTCGTCTAATATACTTCCCTGCTTATTATAAACAATAGTACCCCTTTTGTTCATTAAAATCTTCTTCCATCCTGATTCATTCACGACAAGTTTCAAGGCTTTTACGGCATGGTCAGCTTGCTGGACATGATATTCAGAAGTTTGCATGTAATATTTGCCACTTCTTGGAGGCGTAAATGATTCTGGACTTTCATTAAGAACAGAATTGATAGTGCTAGCGGCATAACTTTCAGCATACTCTGAATATTGGTCCATGGTTTTTTTTTTTCAAATGTACTTATTTTGTTATATTTTTTTGTTAGAGACTTTAATTCATAAAAAAATCTTTTGGTTGTCTTTATTTGGGAAAATTATATATAGTTTAATTGAAAGAATAATGAAGAATAATGATTTATAAACGACTAAGCATCAAAAACGAGAGTAATTTTAACAAGGTAACAATATCAATCAATATGTAACATATTTCATTATTTCTTTGCAAATCTAAAGGTTCGAAATTAGTGAATTAAAAATTCAGGTATTATTGTCTTTTATATACTTTATATACTAATTTTTATCGGGTAATATATTCTTTCGAAATTGTTAACTTTTTGGTAAAGAACTGCTAATGATCGTCTGAAATATCCGAAACCATATATATGATTTATGAATTTCCAAAATTGTTGCTATAACGCGCGGAAGCCTCTTCAAAGACAATCACATGTTTACATGCGAAAATTATTGATGAATGAATGTATATCAAAGATTAAAAAAGCTGGATCCATAGTTCATAACGACCCTTGAAGATCCGTGTAACCCCCACAAAATAGAAACTATTTTAAATCCAGAAATCGGCTTTATGTTAATCGCCGGTATCTCGGAATTTTGCAATAATAAGCCGCCTTTTGCATCCTTTTTCATCCTGATAAAGTAACTTGTAAGATTTAGAACGTTCTATCCTAACCCCTATACCGACCGACCGTAATCTTTACTTCGCGTGATTCGTATCACACATGTATATCGTGGCTAAAGTGATCGATGTTCAAAATATTGAAGATTAACATTTGAAAAAAAGATCATTAAGATCGATAAAACTATATAAAACTATGGAGGTAAGCGCGTGAGGACCGATTATACAATTATACTCAAGTCTATTGTTACAATCGGTAAAAAAAAGAATCATAGTTTCCATAAATGCCCGCATCATGTACGCACACACTACGTAACACTATGCTCTAATCTCAGGCTCTAAATAGAATGTACTCCATAGGTGCACATTTTCTTTCGTACGTATTCTCAAGGGGATGATGTACTTATGAAGAGCTGACTGTTTATATACAAACATATGAACATTAGCCTTCAATATAAAGGATATGAGCATGACATAATCAATTGAGTTGCTTTTAATGTACTTTAAAGTAATTTTAATACGTATTAAAAAAATTTTTTTTTAAAAAAAAAATTATTATTTGAAGAATTAATAGCAACTCAAACATTATTTTGAAGACTTTGTTGATTCTTTACTAATAGTCTACATATGTTTGTGACTGCCTTTAGAAAGATCAGCATTGATTTTCTTTTAAAACAATTAACTTGGTATACTGTATATAAAATTCGATTAAATTCACTATATATTTCAAAAAATCAGGCCAGTATAATAGTGAGTGTTAGCGATTTTGTGGGGATTTGGATCTGTTATAAATATTCTCCTAGTATTTATGCAAAAATAGTCTGTGCTCTATTCTAAAGCATTATGTTGATCGCAGACCTTCGTTGCGTTAGGATTATCAAACGTTCACTATTTAATAGATCCGGAAGTAATTGCTCATACAAAAAAAAGATATACATTAGTCAGTAGTTTATTGGTTACTAGATAATTGAAAAGAATCTTTACTTCGAGAATATTCCGTAATTCAAAAGTCTTACCATATCTAACATTCATTATATCAAGAGTTCTTATATTACGAAAATGACTATATATATATATAGTATCTTTTTAAATTACTACGTATCGTTATTACTATTAGAATAATTTTATCGATGTTCGCCATTAAGTCAGTTTAAGCAAAGCTTCAAGCAAACTCAAGTCAACTCCAAGTTTTCTAGTCTATAGTCTGTATTAGGGATGTAACAAGAATAGCTTTTAATTATACAAAAACAGTGTTTTGGATCAATCTTTTCAGCATAGCCCAGAAATCAATTATGGATCTTAAAGTTTAAAAATTAATAATGATAGATTGATGTTTGAATAACTTTTCGAAAATTTTCTTTGGAATTTTTAATCAAGTCAAGATTTTCTCAATAGTTTAAATATACCACCAAAATTTAGATAGCAGCAGTTATAAACCGTTTTATTGATATTCCCAAATTTTATATGCAAAAAAATTATTAAAACTTAATTAAAAATATATAACTTTAAAATTTTACTTATGAATTTTTAATATTTTATGTTTTATTTAAATTATTAATTTCAAATATATATAGAAAAAAATACAAACTAATTGTCCATGTGTTTAAGATTTATACCGATCGGAATATGACGTTTGTCAACTTATAGCGAATCCCGATTTTGGAATATGACGTTTGTCAACTTATAACGAATCCCGATTTTGTGTAACGTAACACGATCAGAAAACAAAACGTTCGCATTGCTTATCGAATAGAAGCAACCAAAATATTGCAAAAAAAATGAGAATTTTTTCGAGCCAAAGCGAAGAGGTTGCTTCTATTCGAGTCCAATTTTATTAGTATAACATAACAACCTTAGTCAAATTTTTAGCTCCAAAATCTGGGAGGTTGCTTTTATTCGGTGGTTGCTTCTAATTGGTAACATACGGTATTTCTCGAAAATTTTCATAATAAACCGCCGTCTGCGCTCTAACAAAAAAATTTTCTTGAGAGATTTTACATATAAATTTATCCCGATAAATTTAACATTAATCCAATCATAAATAAACTTATCGCACTCTATAAGATCTGGTGTAACGTGAAATCAAAACAATATATTATAACCAATTAGACTCTGGTTAAAAAAGGGTGATAGAAGAGCATGGTGGACAATTTTCATTGCACAAACCTTCCAAATTTGAAATTTGTGACTCAGGGTTAATCTGCCCAATAAAA